ATGTGAAGGCAAGGAGATCTAGACATCTCTGCTAAAACCACGGTGAACGTCGCCGTCCCTACTAACATAAAAAATACAAAAAACGTAAGCCGTGCGAAGTTTTGGTTCGGGCGCCTGTATATTCCCAGCTACTTGGTAGGCTGAGGCAGGAAGAATGGCGTGAAACCCGGGAGGCGGAGTGCATTGACCTGAGATTCCTGGCCACATGCACGAAGAATAGACAGCAGTAAGGGAACTTTTGGCTCGAAAAAACTCACGACAAACAACATGAGTGATAAGATAATGCTCACACAACAACATACACAATCGTGGCTCACGCCTATAATCCCGGCAGCTTGGGAGGCTGAAATGGGCAGAGCACTTCGGCCCAGCAGACCAGCCTGGGCAACATGGCGAGACCCTGTCTCTACAAAAAAGACAAAAATTGGCCAGGCGTGGTGGTACATGCCTGTAGTCTCAGCTACCAGGGAGGCTGAGCTGGGAGGATCCCCTGAGCCCAGGAAATTGAGGCTGCAGTGAACCAAGATGGCACCACTGCACTCCAGTCCTGTCCCCAAACCAAAAACAAGCAAATAGTGACAGAATATGCTTTAAGAACGCATAATGTGTAGGAATACTGCTTAAACCCCACCAGAGGAGAAGCTCACATTCGGGTTGGCGTCCCCCAGGGGAGGGTGGGTGGATGGGAGCAGGGCTGGGGTTTCGGGGCTGGTGAGGCAGGTGCGCTCACCAGTGTCTGCTGTGTGGTGAGGCCTTGTCATCGTGTAGTTGTATACACACATTAACTCCTAATGAACTAGAAAGTGAGCATCAAAAATGACACCTCGAAGTGTTAATAATTGTTGAAGCTGGGCAATGGGTACGTGGAAGTTCACGGTACTGGTTTTGTGTGTAACTGACATATCCCATCACAATGTTAATGGTGATGAGAGCCTCAGCAGGACAATGCTGGGCCCCGTGATGGCTGCGTCACTGCACGAGGTGGGCTCCCACCCACGGCCCCTTCTCAGCAGAGCCGGGAGCCCCTACTTTCCTCCTGGCCTTCCCACTCCTATGCTTTGTGAAGTCATCTCTACTTCTGATTCCTTGTGGATTCTTGCAGGATTTTTGAATAAAAGGGGGTGTGGGCAGTTTCTGAATTAACACCTTTTTCCACCACCCTTCCCACACGCGCAGTGGGCCCCGGAGTGGCGGGAGTAGAGGCTGGATTTGAGTAGGGTCTTCATGGACAGGCGGCTTTCGGACTACGTAGACCATCATGATATATCCGAAGCTCATGGGTTTACTTTTGACTTTGAGCTTCTTCTTTTCTTTCTTTTTCTTTCTTTGTTGTTTTTTTTTTTTGAGACAGGGTCGCACTCTGAATGCCCAGGTTGGAGTGCAGTGATGCGATCACAGCTCACTGCAGCCTCAACCTCCCGGGCCTCAGCCTCCCACTTTAGCCTCTCCTGTAGCTGGAACTACAGGGGCGTATCACTACACCTGGCTAATTTTTGTAGAGATGGGGTTTAGCCATGTTGCCCAGGCTAGTCTCAAACTCCTGGACTCAAGCCATCTGCTGGCCTTGGCCTCCCAAAAAGTGCTGGGATTACAGGCATAGATCACTGTGACTTTCAGCTTTAAAGTACCTTTGTTCCCCTGAGCCATTCCTGGACACCCGGGATGAGAGGCGGCTTCAGCTTTAAGGTCTGTAGTTTTCATAGAGGTAGACAAGTCTGTTCATCTTTGGCAAGTGAAGCTCTCCCACTCACTTGCAAGCTCTGGCTCTGCCTGACTCTAACCCTCTCTCCTTCCCGCCCCGCCCCTCATTACCCTTGCCTCAGCGGTAATGGACATTTAACAGGAATGTTTATGCGGTAACACCAGCTGTCTCCATGTCATCCTTTTTGTCTGTTACCCATTAGAGGGGATTTTTTTCAGATTGGAGAGAAGGATTTCAAAATGACTTCCCTTCAGCTGCAGGGCCTGGTCTTGGGCATCTTGACCTCCGCACATTTCTGGAGGAGCTCCTCCATGACCTCTGCATCAATTTCTGGGAGGACTCCTCGTGACCTCCACACATTTCTGGGAGGACTCCTCGTGCAGCAGGACTTCAGGTGGTAGAGGTGGGCTTTCTCCAGCCAGAGGTGGGGTCTCTGTAGACTCCATGGGGCCCTGGCTTTTGGGATCTGTCTGGACCACCCTCCCCTGGCTTTTGTAGCAGGGCTGTCACGGGGCTGTTGATGTGGAAATCCCCCCACCACAGATGGCCTTTCTCTGGCAGCTAAGGTGACCTTCATTTTGGGCCTGGGAGGGCCAGCTGGCCTGGAATTGAGGGAGAGGAAATGCAAGGTGCCCTGACCCCCAAGCCTTGCAAACCGAACCATTGCTCACCCACTGCGTCACACAGGAGTCTACAGGTGTCTCACACTCGGAAAGTCGAACCCGAGCCCCTGACTTGGCCTCACCTCCTCAGTTCTGTTTCTCAGCAGCTGGCTGCACTGTTCACCTGGCTGCTCAGAACAAAGGCTTTCATCTTTGACTTCTCTCTGTCGTTTCCCATATAATTGATCAGCAAAACCTGTCAGCTTTGCTTCCAGACTGCATCCCAGACTGTTGTCATCCCCTCCACCCACAATGGGGTCCAGCTGCTGTCCCCGCCCACTGTGCTGTTGTGGTCACCTTGGCTTGGCCTCCTGTCTTCGGTTGCTGTTCCTCTAAGTCCTGTCTCAAGAGCAGGGTGACCCTTTTATAAAGCCGCTCCCTGATCCAGACCCTCTGTCTCATACAGAGCAACCCCCAAAGCTGCCAGGCGCCGGCTACCGTCTGGCCTTTGCCTCCTCTGTGCCCACCAGGCCAGCCCACCTCTCCCCGCATCGTCTGGCATGCACTGCCTCAGGGCTTTCTCTGAGCCGCTCTCATCCACCTGTCAGCGAGGCTTCCCTGGCAACCGTCTTGAACAGCAGCATGTGTCCCGGCCACTGTACCCTGCCTCACTCTTCCCCACGGCGCTTACCCCTGCCTTTGTCTGTCTCGGTCTGTCTGTCTGTCTCTTCCAACAGGAATAAAAACATAAATGTTCTTGCTGTACTCCTGGTGCCTAAAACTGCCTGACATTTGGTCGGCATCCACAAATGTTTTTGAACGAATGATTAACCAAACGAAAGGACGCCAGGAAGTATCCAGAAACATGGTCTTTGGGATGGACAGATGCTCCTGTGGCTTCGACGCTCTGTGGGAGCCCCAGGCCCAGCTCGCCGTGGCTCTTTTTCAGCTGTACTCTGGGGCTTCTGTCTGCACTCTGCCCTTCTGGACTGCCTCTCTCTCCCCTCCTGTCCCTTTCCCTCTGTTTCCTGGCCTCTCCTTCAAGTTTAGTAGTTTCCATTGCCCTCTTTGTTTTCCAAGTTTTATTTATTACATATACATATATATGTATTTGGGATGGAGTCTCGCTGTCATGCAGGATGGAGAGTAGTGGCATGATCTCAGCTCACTGCAACCTCCGCCCCCTGGGTTCAAGCAGTTCTCCTGCCTCAGCCTCCCAAGTAGCTGGCATTACAGGTGCTCACCACCACACCCAGCTGATTTTTGTATTTTTAGAAGAGACGTGGTTTCACCATGTTGTCCAGGCTGGTCTTGAACTCCCGACCTTAGGTGATCTGCCCACCTTGGCCTCCCAAAGTGCTGGGATTACAGGTGTGAGCCACCACACCCGGCCTTGTTTTCCAAGTTTTAACGCCCTTCGCGATGAAGAAACAAAGGGGGCAGCACATACCCGCCCCTCCTGGGACACCCCTCTTCCTGTGGGCTCGGCCGCCACCTCCCCAGGACCCTGGGTTCCTGAGGCTGGGGCTCCTCTCTCCTTATTGATCTCACCGAGGAGGGCCCGTGTCCTGTCACCTAAGGAGATGTGGGGCGTGGATTTGTTGTCTGTGAATGGAGCCGCTAAGCCTGGAGCTCCTCAGGCACCTGGGCTGTTTCCTTTAGATGTTTCTCGCCTCCCTCCACTGTGCCCAGCTCTGCAGAGGCTCCATGTCTGTCGCTGGCCATGCCGTGTGGAGACCCCCTACTCCACTCTGTGTAGGAACCGTTTGTCCCAGAGACCAGATGGAACTCCTTGGGGTGGGCGAGTTGTAGGCCTTCAACCAAGGCTCACTGACCGGGGCTGGCATGCACTTGGTGCCTGGTGCCTGACCTTGGGGCTGCTGTGGAAGCTTCTCAGTGGAGGCTCATGATTGGTGCTTGAGTGAGTGGGGAGAACCCGGCATGGGAGGCCAGACAGCACTTCCAGGCGCCAGGAGGGCTGCACGCCTTGCCTCCGAGGCCTGCTCACTGTCACTGGCTGCCCGACTGTTGAAGTTCCCATCACTGTTTATTCCTTCCTCTGTGTAGGAGTCGGTGTCCTGCCTGCGCTCAGGATGAGGGGGGATCTGGCCCTGGCAGGCGTTCTAATCAGCCTGGCCTTCCTGTCACTGCTGCCGTCTGGACATCCTCAGCCGGCTGGTGATGACGCCTGCTCCGTGCAGATCCTCGTCCCTGGCCTCAAAGGTAACCACTCCCTGAACTCTGGGCTGCTGGCCAGTGGCCTCTGGGCTAGCTCAGAGACTCCTATGCAGCTGGGCAGTTCCACAGAAAAGCACAAAGCCCGGGCAAATCTGCTCACCCCATTGGGCCTCAGTTTCCCCATCTGGAAATCAAGGGTTGGGCAACATGAAGTCTAAACTGTCTTTGGCCATGGAATTTCTAATTCCGAAGTTAGCAATTTGTTTGCAACTCAGCCCTCTCCAGGGGGGCCTTGCTGGAAGGCACCTGGGTTTTTGTCAGACCCTGCACACACCGCCTCGTGTGATCCTCCCCATGAGATGGTCTCATTTGGACCATTTTATGCATGAGGAAATTTGAGGCTCAGAGAAAATTTGCAATTTGCGTAAGTTCCCCAAGTGTGCTTCTACATTGCTTCCTGAGAGCTCTTAATATTTTATTTTAAAAATTAAAAAATCCCTGGTGGTCTAGTGGTTGGGGGGAAAAAAAGAAACAAACATTTTTTTTTGTTTGTTTTTTCTTTTTGCTTTATCTGCAATCTGCTCCCAGATAGAGATAGTTCTGCATGTCAGGCATGGGTGAGAAAGTCCCTGAAGCTGCAGTATCTGAAGCCTTCCGAGTAGCATCTTCACGTAAGAAAATCACCAGCTTCTACAAAGCAGAGGCAACAGGTCCCCAAACCTGGTGGAGCCTGGTGTGAAATGAAAATGTGGGCCCCTTTTTCAAAATTACAGAACTCAAGAAGGGACAGCAGAGTGTGTGCCAGTGTCGGGTGGCAGGGCCGGGGCCGCAGCTGAGGGGAGTCACGTGGGTGCCGAGGAGGTGGAGGGGCACATTGACCTTCTGCGCCCTGAATCAAGTCCGCCTCCTCCTCATCCCCACGCAGGCTGCTTGGGCCTTCAGCGTCTCTTGTGGAGTGGCTGCAGCTCTTTTTATTGAAACATTAGAGAAGAGTGGATTCAAACCCACGATCAAAACAGGCACCACAAAAGACAAGCCCTGCTCAGCCCATGTTGTACAGAATGAAAAGATCAGCCCTCTTCCGGGGCACAGGGTCCGGACAGCTCAGGGCCACCCTGCCAGGCCACATGGCTCTGGATGGGGGCTCTTTTCTGGCTGTGTTCACCCTGCTGTTGGAAACCAAGTGGGCTGCCCTGCAACCCAGACAAGCCGAGTGGCCTTTGTGCTTTTAATTCTGATGAATGCGCTTGCTTTAGAAAATGTTTAATTGTGTTGGAAGCAACTTAAACTGTTGGACGTGTATGGCTCTCTCAGAAGTTTTGGTGAAAGTGGCTTTGGCCCTGACCTTGTGGTCACGTGTGTGGGTTTGTGAGTGGAACCTTCAGCTTTAAGTTGGAAACCATGGCTGTGGAGAGCTGGACTTTAGGCTGGGGAGGTCACGTCCCTACCCGATGTGGTGGGTGCCCCCGACTCCCTACCATTCTCTTCCCTGCGCCCTGCCAGGTCTGTAGCCCGCACTAGTGGGGACCGTGGGGTGGGCTCCAGGGCCTTTCTGGATGCTGCCTTTCCCAGGTGCTGTTGGGAGGGTCCTTCCCAGCCGTCCACGTCCTGGGTCCTCTGGATATGCTGTCATTTCCCGCATGGGTAGGGTCCCTTCCCAACCTTCACAGGCTGGGAAGTAGGGCAGATCTGAGTGTGCTGTGGGTCAGCTATGCTGCGTGATGGGTCACCTGTCCTTCCAAGCCTTGGCCTCCTGGTCCGTGAGGTTGGGGAGGCAATGCCAGCTTTGGGTTCTGTGGGGATGCAATGGTGGCACCAGGAGTGGGCACACGGTGACCGGGGACCCAGCCCCTGTTCCCGGCTCTGGGACAGTGACTTACAAAGCTCTAACCCTGTGCAGGCAGTGAGCCCAACCAGGGAGCAGATCAGGTGTCCGTCCAGCACGTGCCCCACGGGTCTGCAAGTGAGAGGTGAGCACCAGGGGCGAGGAACGGTTTAGAAGGATTCAGGATGCCCAGTGTGTCAGAAATTGGGTTACTCAATGGAGAAAATGGTGTGTGCCAGCAGACTTCATCCCTGCCAGCCACAGCATGTGCTGTAGCACCCCAGGGCCGCTGGAGGTCAGAGAGGAGAGGCAGCGTGCAGGGCAGTACCGCTGAAGGTCAGAGAGGAGAGGCAGCATGCAGTGCAGTGCAGCTGGAGGTCAGAGAGGAGAGGCAGCATGCAGTGCAGTGCAGCTGGAGGTCAGAGAGTGCAGTGCAGCTGGAGGTCAGAGAGGAGAGGCAGCGTGCAGTGCAGTGCAGCTGGAGGTCAGAGAGGAGAGGCAGCGTGCAGGGCAGTGCAGCTGGAGGTCAGAGAGGAGAGGCAGCGTGCAGGGCAGTACCGCTGAAGGTCAGAGAGGAGAGGCAGCGTGCAGTGCAGGGCAGCTGGAGGTCAGAGAGGAGAGACAGAGTGCAGTGCAGTGCAGCTGGAGGTCAGAGAGGAGAGGCAGCGTGCAGGGCAGTACCGCTGAAGGTCAGAGAGGAGAGGCAGCGTGCAGTGCAGTGCAGCTGGAGGTCAGAGAGGAGAGGCAGCGTGCAGTGCAGTGCAGCTGGAGGTCAGAGAGGAGAGGCAGCGTGCAGTGCAGTGCAGCTGGAGGTCAGAGAGGAGAGGCAGCGTGCAGGGCAGTGCAGCTGGAGGTCAGAGAGGAGAGGCAGCGTGCGGTGCAGTGCAGCTGGAGGTCAGAGAGGAAAGGCAGCGTGCAGGGCAGCTGGAGGTCAGAGAGGAGAGGCAGCGTGCAGGGCAGCTGGAGGTCAGAGAGGAGAGACAGCATGCAGTGCAGTGCATCTGGAGGTCAGAGAGGAGAGGCAGCGTGCAGGGCAGTGCAGCTGGAGGTCAGAGAGGAGAGGCAGCGTGCAGGGCAGTGCAGCTGGAGGTCAGAGAGGAGAGGGCAGCGAGAGGAGAGGCAGCGTGCAGTGCAGTGCAGCTGGAGTCAGAGAGGAGAGGCAGCGTGCAGGGCAGTGCAGCTGGAGGTCAGAGAGGAGAGGCAGCGTGCAGGGCAGTGCAGCTGGAGGTCAGAGAGGAGAGACAGCATGCCGGGCAGCTGGAGGTCAGAGAGGAGAGACAACGTGCAGTACCGCTGGAGATCAGAGAGGAGAGGCAGCGTGCAGTGCAGTGCAGCTGGAGGTCAGAGAGGAGAGGCAGCGTGCAGTGCAGTTGGAGGTCAGAGAGCAGAGGCAGCGTGCAGTGCAGTGCCTACTTTTAAGGAAACAGACACATATGTAGTCACCATTCATTCATTAGACAAACGTCTGTTGAGAATCTACCAGGCAGGCTCAGGGCTGGGATGAAGAAGCCATGGTCTGTCTCCTCACAGTCCCACCATTCAGCCCAGGACATGAGGTGGCATCTGGTCTGCGAAACACGGCACGCGCCCTCCCCCTGCACCACTTGCATTTTGGATCCTGAAACCTTTGCCGACTCCACATTTGGCTGAAGAATCTTCCTGGGCACACGCGCCTGGCTGCCACTGACTGCTGGTGGTGCTTGAATGACATTTATTTGTCATTCCAGGCCTAATACTAATATATCATCTTTACATTTAGAGAGAATGACAACTCCTTTTAATGGGAAAAAAGCAGTCTTTTTTTTTTAGTGGTTAAAAAAATGACTGTAGGTGGGAAAACATTTATCTGTATTAACAAATGTGTTGCCCGGAAATATGAAAGGTCATAGTTCTTCTTATAGGTTTTATCAAATTAATTTTTTTTTTCTTTTTTTTTTTTCTTTTTGCGATGGAGTTTCTCTCTTGTTGCTCAGGCTGGAGTGCAGTGGTACGACCTTGGCTCACTGCAACCTCCACTTCCCGGGTTCAAGCTATTCTCCTGCCTCGGCCTCCCAAGTAGCTGAGATTACAGGCATGCACCACCACGCCTGGCTAATTTTTGTATTTTTAGTAGAGACGGGGTTTCACCGTGTTGTCCAGGCTGGTCTCGAACTCCTGACCCACCCGTTTTGGCCTCCCAAAATGCTGGGATTGCAGGTGTGAGCCACCACGCCTGGCCTATCAAATTAATTTAAAAATCATTTACTGCCATTTTTTTTTTTTTTTTTTTTTTTTTTTTTGAGGCGGAGTCTCGCTCTGTCGCCCAGGCTGCAGTGCAGTGGCGCGATCTCAGCTCACTGCAAGCTCCGCCTCCCGGGTTCCCGCCATTCTCCTGCCTCAGCCTCCCAAGTAGCTGGGACTACAGGCGCCGCCACCACGCCCGGCTAATTTTTTTGTATTTTTAGTAGAGACGGGGTTTCATTGTGTTAGCCAGGATGGTCTCGATCTCCTGACCTCGTGATCCGCCCGTCTCGGCCTCCCAAAGTGCTGGGATTACAGGCTTGAGCCACCGCGCCTGGCCTACTGCCATTCTTTAAAACAGCATTGATAAAGCCAGTAATGGGGCCTGAATAACATGCGCTGTGGGAGGTTTGCTCTTCTGACATCTGATGGTCTGTCTGTGCCGTCTCCCCTTGTGTAGAACAGGCCAAGCAGGCTGAGGTCCCGGCTTCCTCCTCTCTGACTTCCCATGGCCCTGGGGTGCCGTGGCACTTGCTGTGGCCGGCAGGGATGTGAAGTCGCTGGCACACGAGTTTGTTCAGCCTTAGAAGCCGGTGGCACGACAGTCAAGCACTGTCCACGGATCTTCCTCAGCTGGCTGTAAATATGTTGAAATACCTTAGGTTCTCCATAAAATAACTGGCGTGTGCCTTCCTAGCTGGGTGGGAAATGACCCCAGATGCAATCTAGGTAAAAGATTTTTATTCGTAGATTTGTGCATGATTTGCAGGGAAGCCAGGCAAACAGTAAATGCCAGCCACGTTTTGTTTCTTTGAGCAAGGAGAGAGCCGCATTGTGATGATGGTGGGAAGTGAGCCAGCGGTTGAAATGTTAGCCTCTCCTGGCAGAGAAATAACTTGTCATTAGAACTGTGTAGTCAATCATCTGAAAATGAAAAGGATGCTCGCTGGGTCTACATTACAAAATGCACAGCGCTGAGTGGGGAGGTGTATAGACATCCTGCTCTGGAGTCATTACCTGCAGGGACATACATCTTTGTGACCCCTGGGACCAGTGGACAATGAACACTTCAAACCCTGCCAAACTGGCCAGGTGCAGTGGCTCATGCCTGTGATCCTGGCACTTTGGGAAGCTGAGGTGGGAGGATGACTTGAGCCCAGGAGCTTGAGACTACCCAGGGCAGCATAGTAAGACCGCATCTCTGGGGGGGAAAAAAAAAAAAAACCCAAAAAAACAAGCAAACAAAAAAAAAAAACAAAAAAAAACAAGAAAACAAACAACCCTGCCAAATTGTGAACAGTGCTTAAGAACAACCTTGGTTCTTAAGATGCGTGGACAGGGCAAGTCTGCAAGGTGGAGGCGACGGGGACCGCAGAGAAACCAGGGCAGCCCCGCCATGGATGGTAGGCCTCTGTACTCTCCGGTCTTCAGTGCTGCTGGTCCCGAACCAGAGATTAAAATACTTTTTCTCGTGACAACCAGCACGGCGTCTTCCAGGGTGTATTTTGTTCAATCCTTACCAGAGCTGAGGAGGGCCAGGCTGGGAGGGCTTACGCTGGGTTTTGCACAGGAAGGAAAGCAGTTTCTGACTCCAGGTTTGGGCTCCCCACACTGCAGGCACAGCCATGAGGCATTTGGGGTACCTGCTGCCCAGCGCTGGCTGAAACGCGCCTGGCCCTGTTCAACTGCAGACACAGGTCCATTAAGCAGAGCCCCTGGGAGATGGCGTTTAAGTGGATTTTGTGATTAGCTGAGATATATGAGGAAAATTCATGTTCAATCCTCTTCTTTCGAAAGTCGTGCTGTTTTTAATGACTCACTGGTCTTTCTTTCCTGCTTTAGTAACGAGAGTTTGTCGGACACAGTGTAATGTGTGCTGTTTTCAGGGTCCTTCCCTGCCTCCAGTCGTTACTATGAACTATTTTTCTTTTCTTTGATTTTGTTTTTTTTGGTTTTTTGCTTTTTTAGAGACAGGATCTTGCTCTGTCACCCGGGCTGGAGTGCAGTGGTGCAATTAACTGCAGCCTCCAACTCCTGGGCTGAAGAGCTCCTCCCACCTCAGCTTCCTGAGTCGCTGGGACTACAGGTGCACAGCAACACACACTGCTAATTTTTTTTTTTTTGAGACGGAATTTCACTCTTGTTGCCCAGGCTGGAGTGCAATAGCGTGATCTCGGCTCATCACAACCTCTGCCTCCTGGGTTCAAGAGATTCTCCTGCCTCAGCCTTCAGAGTAGCTGAGATGACAGGCACCCACTACCACATCTGGCTAATTTTTGTATTTTTGGTAGAGACGGGGTTTCACCATGTTGACCAGGCTGGTCTCGAACTCTTGACTTCAGGTGATCCACCCGTCTTGGCCTCCCAAAGTGCTGGGATTACAGGTGTGAGCCACCATGCCCGGCCCTTGCTAATTTTTTTGTAGAGATGGAGTCTTGCTGTGTTGCCCAGGCTGCCTTTAAGTGATCCTCCTGCCTTGGCCTCCCAAAGTGCTGGGATCACAGGCACGAGTCACTGCACCTGGCCAACAAGTTTTCAAAAATCAGATTAGAGACAAGCAGATGGATGCAGGTGGAGGTTGGTCAGAAGCTATCATGACAAACTTGTCCTTACTGCTTTGTCTTTAGGAGGAGAGGAGACGAGGGTGAGTAGTCATGCTGGTTAGTGAGTCTCGCTGTGAGGTTTCGATGCCTGAGGAAGGCGTGGTAAAGACACACTGGCGTGCCAGCACATCCCAGCTTGGACATGTCACTTAATTCTCACAGCTGCGTCTTCACCTGTAGAGTGGACACAGTGCCCAACCCATGGTGAAATTATTATGCAAATAAGTGAATGCCATGTACAAACTCCAGGAGCTTTCTTAAGCAGTTTGAGAAGAGCTGGCAGACCTGCTTAGTGTTAATTCTCTACGAGTGCTGTTGGAGCACCCTCCTCTTCCTGGTGCTCTGGGGGACCCAGGGTTGGGTGAGATGGAGCTGCGTCTTCTCGGAGCTTTCAGCCTGTGGGGGAGAGAGCAGACTGCTGTCATGTAGGTGGTGTGAAATGCTTTATGAAGGAAACATTCTTCTGCCCTCCTCTTGGCCACCATCACTGCTGGCCTGGACCATGGCATGGATGGTCAAGTTATCCCCATGGCCCGTGGCATGGATGGTCAGGTTATCCCCATGGCCCATGGCATGGATGGTCAGGTTATCCCCATGGACCATGGCATGGATGGTCAGGTTATCCCCATGGTCCATGGCATGGACGGTCAAGTTATCCCCATGAGCTCCAGGCATGAAGTCGCTGGGCTGCCTGCTGCCCCAGGCTCGCGGCTGGCTCTGCCCAGCCACCTGGCTTCCCGTCAGCCCTTCCAGCCCTTCCCCCTCGTCTGTGCACCTGCTGACCCTGTGCTCGGAACACTTCTTACTCTGTGCCTGGCTACCCTGCTCAGCAGCTCAGCCTGAGAGCCACCCCTCAGAGGGACTTTTCGGATCTTGCCGTCTAAATTATGGCTCCTTTGTTGAGGTGATTGCCTCATTTTATTCTTGCGCTCCGTGTTGCTAATTAGAATTCTTATGTCAATCTGATTCTCATTCACAGGCATGCAGTCTATAAAACTGTTTTCCCCTCCTGGGTAGCTGACAGAATTTTCTCTTTATTCTCAGTGTTCTGCGGTGTTGCTCTGACATATCTGAGTTACTTTTCTCTGATTTTCCCCGTGTGGTTCTCTGCAGGCCCTTTCACAGCATTCTTTCCTGGCTTTCCTTAGTACTGGGAAATTGCAGCTACTGAGTCTTCACAGCCACGAAGCCTTTGTTCCTCTCTTTCCAGAAATGCTATAAGATGGCCATTGGCATTTGTAAGTTTTTCCTTCAACTCTCAACTTCATAACTTCAAAACAAACAAATGACACCTGCATTTCTTATTAGTACTGCCCTGTGAACAATGCTTCCTCCTCACCCCTGGCTTCACGAGGCCTCTTCGTCCTTGGCCACCGGGGACTCGCCTTTCTGCGGAGTGGCTCCCGCACAACGTCTTTGCTCGGCTCTTTCCGCCGCAGTGTGCTGTTGTTCACGGACTGGCCTCTCCCATGTTATGAGGACCTCAGTTCACCGATTGCACAGTCAGCGTCCGGCTGCTCCACCTTTCTGTCTCCTCTGTTCTTTCTTCTGCACGATGCTGGTGCCCCTGAAACCTCTGGGGATTCTTAATGCTGAGTTTATCTTGTTAGTGGATATTTCTTGCTAAACTGTCAACACTTTTCTTTTCTTCTTACAAGATAGGAAAGCAGACTTGAGAACTACTTGGAGCCTCAGGGCAGCGTGTGAGTGTCCACCGTGGGTCAGCCCAGGGGCAGCCCAGAGGCTTCTCAGCAGGTGGCCCTGGGGGACTGGGGCTGGGGCACGGGGGTGATGTGGGGATGTGCCAGCCGCTGTCACTGTGCTTTTCTCTTTGTTACTTGGATTTAAATGGAATGTCCCCTCCGTGAGGCCAGATAATCAGCTTTGGGGATTTTGTGGAGGGATCTGTAATCTCAGCTGAGCCTCTCTCCAAGACAAGGTGCAAATGGAGAGTTATAGAGAAGCAAAGTTTACGTGAACGCTGGCACGATTGTGCAGAGAGGGAAGGTGAACTTGTAGCATGTCAGTGCACACACATGCACACCCATGCACACGCACACACACACGCACACCTACGCTCACACACGCACACATGCACATGCATCTACACGCACATCTATGCACATGCACACACACACGCACACAGATGCACACACACAGACATGCACACACACGCACACATGCGCACACAGCTGCATACACGCACACGTGTACACACACATGCACACACACGCGCACACGCTCCTTCTCTGCAGCCATTCAGAGGAGGGATAGTGCAACAGGTAAGAAATGCGGCCTTATAAAAATGGCTACAGAGGAGTCCCAGCCAGCAGATCAGAGTGGTCCTGTTGAGAGAATCCAGAAGAGCCTCCCGGAGAACCAGGTGAGAAGGCGGACGCTGGACAGGAGCCGGCTGACCAGGCAGGCTGGGCAGAGGGCACAGAGTAGGGAATGACCGGGATCCGAGGTAGAGACCACACTGAGGAGGGGCTCAAGTACTGGGAGTCACTGATAGCTAAATCCAGAGACATAATAGAATTCCGTGTGTTTCAGGACAGTGGTTTTGGTGTGGATTAGAGTGTGGGGAGCAGACTGGAGCGGAGGCGTTGGTGCCCACAGGCCTTCCTAAGGCCCCTGGCCTCACTGCGCACATCTCTGAACTGTGCCTTGTAGGGTGTCTCCACCGTGATTCACCCTCTGTCTCCCGCACCTGCTGAGCCCCGGAAGCGGGTGGACGTGCCCACCTGGTCACAGGCAGCCCCCACGGTGGAGGCCCTGGCTGAGCAGGAGCCTGTGCCTGGGGGACTCATGCTGACAGGGCCGGGGGTGCTGACATAGCGCCCGAGGTCATCCTTCCCCGAGTAACAAGCAGACGAAGCGCAGGGAGAGGTCGGGGTGTCGCTTCCCATGGGGGGCACCTGGAGACGCTGCCGCCCTTCTCATTGGTGTTAGGGTGGGGGAGAGCTGGCATTTAGATGGGGCACTATGTGCCCAGGGACAGACTGGGAGCCCACCAAGAAGGGGAGCTGGTGAAAGAAACATGCCCTTTCTAAGAGAGAAGGTAGGGCAGGGAGAGAAATAGCCCTAAAAACAGAATCAGGGGCACCCAGCGTAGGGGCTGGGCTGCAGGCAGGGGGGAGGGCGTGGGGACAAGGGGCCTGGGCACCTGCAGGGACCCAGAGAGAGCCCTTCTAACTGTTCTTCCTCCACAAATCACTCTGGGATGCTGTGCTGGCCAGACAAGCTGCTAAATGGATGTGACTTCTTCCACAGGGGATGCGGGAGAGAAGGGAGACAAAGGCGCCCCAGGACGGCCTGGAAGAGTCGGCCCCACGGGAGAAAAAGGTACCCACAGCCCTGGGCTGGCCCTCAGACCTCTGAGGATGGAGGCACCACTTCTGGTAGAGCTGGGTGGGGAGGTGGGGGTGGTGGTTCCAGAGAGGACAGGACCTGCCTTCTGGGTCCCAGGGAGGCAGACGGCACGGGGCTTGGCTCGGGAGCAAGGAGGGGAGAATGCTCCTTCAGCAGTGCTCCGTGTGCTGACCTGTGCGGCCCCAGGAGAGAAAGTGTGTCCTGGAACTCAGCAGAGGCTCCTGGCCTCTGTAAGCCTCATCTGTAAGGTGGGAATAACAGCTTCCAGATCATTTGTGAGCGCTAAGTGGATCAGTGTCGTTATGAAGACACTGTGGCAGGGTACACAGATAGGACCCTCATCACTGTGCATCTGTCTCCTCCTAAAGTCGGATGATCTGCCTGCCTTGTGGGACTGTGCCGAGGCTCATGGGAGCCAGATCATACATGTAAAGGAAATGTATCATGTGTTAAGTAGCTGCACAGTACATGGCAGGGGTTAAACACATGGTGGCTATTATCTTTATATACTCCTTGTTACTGCTTTAAATTTTTTTAAATATTTTTTCTTTTTCTTTTCTTTTTGTTTTTTTTTTGAGACAGAGTCTTGCTCTGTCGCCCAGGCTGGAATGCAGTGGCACAGTCTTGGCTCACTGTAACCTCCACCTCCCAGGTTCAAGCCATTCTCCTGCCTCAACTTGTTGAGTAGCTGTCATGTGCTATCATGCCCAGCTAATTTTTTTTTTTTTTTTTTTTTTTGGTATTTTTGGTAGAGACTGGTCTTCACCTTGTTGGCCAGGCTGGTCTCGAACTCCTGGCCTAAAGCAATACATTTTTTTCCAAGTCATTAAAAATTGTCTCTAGAAATGCTTTCTCAATATGTATACATCATTCTGTAAGAACATATACTGGCCGGGCGCGGTGGCTCAAGCCTGTAATCCCAGCACTTTGGGAGGCTGAGACGGGCGGATCACGAGGTCAGGAGATCGAGACCATCCTGGCTAACATGGTGAAACCCCGTCTCTACTAAAAAATACAAAAAATTAGCCGGGTGAGGTGGCGGGCGCCTGTAGTCCCAGCTACTCGGGAGGCTGAGGCCGGAGAATGGCGTGAACCCGGGAGGCGGAGCTTGCAGTGAGCTGAGATCCGGCCACTGCACTCCAGCCTGGGTGACAGAGCGAGACCCCGTCTCAAAAAAAACAAACAAACAAAAAAAAAAACATTGGAGAGTTAAGTTGTTTCCAATTAAAAAAAATTATTATAACAACACAAAGATGATTAAATATATATTTAAGCCCATTTAAGCCCATACACTGTTTTTGAAACGTTTTTGAGGTGTAATGTTTGGACATTCCCATTTTGAGATTACAGTGCAATCGGTTTTGACCATTGCCCCCACCTGTACCCTCGTCCTGAGCAAGAGCTAGAACATTCTTATTTCATTTAGCGTAATGCCCTCCAGGTTCATCCAGGTCACAAATGGTAGGATTTTCTTATATTTCAAGACTGAGTAATATTCTGTTATATATATGCCACGTTTTCTTTATCCACTGATTGGTCAACGGATGCTTAGGTTGTTTTCATATGACGGCCATTGTGAATAATGCCGCAATCAGCATGAAACTGTAGGGATCTCTTCGAGATCCGATTTCATTCCTCTGGCTGTGAACCCAGTAGTCACATGGCCGGATCATGTGGTAGTTCTGCGCTTTTGATGTTTTCAAGGAGCCTCTGTACTGTTTTCCATTCCCAGCAGTGATGTCTAAGGGCTCCCCTTTCTCCACATCTTCTCCAATGCTTACTCTCTTTTGACTTTTTGATACCAGCCATCCTCACAGGTGTGAGGTAATGTCTCATTGTGGCTTTAGTTTCTATTTTCCTAATAATTGATGACGTTGAGCACCTTTCCGTATATCTGTTGGACATCTGTATGTCTTCTTTAGAAAAATGTCCGTCTGTAATCCCAGCACTCTGGGAGGCCGAGGCGGGCAGATCACGAGGTCAGGAGATCCAGACCATCCTGGCTAACACGGTGAAACTCCGTCTCTACTAAAAATACAAAAAATTAGCCGGGCATGGTGGCGGGCGCCTGTAGTCCCCGCTACTTGGGAGGCTGAGGCAGGAGAATGGCGTGAACCCGGGAGGCGGAGCTTGCAGTGAGCCGAGATCACGCCACTGCACGCCAGCCTGGGCGACAGAGCAAGACTCCATCTCAAAAAAAAAAAAAAAAAAGTCTATTCAGATTATTTGGCCATTTTTAAATTGGGTTATTTGTTTTTTGGCTATTGAGTTGTATGAGTTCCTGATATATTTTGGATATTAACCTCTTATCAGATACATGGTTTGCAAATACTGTCTCCCGTTCCATAGGCACATTTCTGTTTTGTTGATTGCTTTCTTTGCTGTGCAGAAACTTGTTAGTTGGATAGGTTAGTCCCACTTACTTATTTTTGCTTTTGTTGCCTGTGCTTTTGGGGTCATATAAAAAAAAATCATTGCCAAGACCAAAGTCAAGGAACTTTTCCCTTACATTTTCTTTTAGGAGTTCTGTGATTTCAGGTATTACATTTAAGTCTTCTATTTTGAGCTGATTTTTATGTATGGTGTAAGACAAGGATTCAGTTTTGGTTTTTTTTTGCACGTGAATATTCAGTTTTCCCAGTAACATTGTGTATTCTTTGTGCCTTTGTTGAAGGTTAGTTGACTGTGTATGCACGCACGGGCTTATTTCTGTGCTTTCTATTCTGCTCTATGGTCTGTGTGTCTGTTTTTATGCCAGTGCTCGTTTGAGCAAGTATACTGCTTTGATTACCATCTATCCGTAATATAATTTAAAACCAGGAAGTGTGATGCCTGCAGCTTTGATTTTCTTGCTGAAGACTGCTTTGGCGATACATGACCTTTTATGGATTCACATGAATTTTAGGATTTTTTTTCCATTTCTGTGAACAGTGCCTTTGGAATTTTGATGGGGATTGCACTGAATCTGTAGATTGCTTTGGGTAGTGTGGACATTTTGAAATATTAATTCTTTTGATCCATGAACATATTTTTTCCATTTATTTGTGTCCTCAATGTTTCATAGTTCTCAGTGTACAGGTACACAACTCTTCCTTGGTTAAATTTATTCCTAAATATGTCATTCTGTTTGGTGCTACAGTCAGGGAGACTGTTTCCTTAAATTTCTTCAGGTAGCTCGTTGTTAGTGTATAGAAATGCTGCTGATGTCCGTGTGTTGATTTTGTATCCTGCAACTTTACTGAATTTGTTTGTTAGTGCTAACCAGTTTTTAGTGGAGTCTTTAGGGTTTTATTTATATAAGATTATGGCATCTGCAAACAGAGCCAGCTTTCTCTCTCCCTTTCCAATTTGGATCCCTCCCTCCCTCTCTTCCTCCTTCCCTCTCTTCCTCCTTCCCTCTGCCTTTCTCTTCCTTTCTTTCTGTCTCTTTCTCCCTTTCCTTTTCTTTCCTTTCCCCTTTCCTTTTCTCTTTCTTGCTTAATTGTTCTGGCTAGGACTTCCAGCCCTATATTGAATACAAGAGGTGAGAATGGGCATCCTTGTCTTGTTTCTGATTTTAGAGTAAAGCTTTCAGCTTTTCACCAGTGAGTATGATGTTAGCTGTGGACTTCTCATATATGGCCTTTATTGTGTTGAGATGGATTCTTTGTATATGTGCTTTCTTGAGAGCTTTTATCATGAAACAACACTGAGTTTTGTCAAATGTTCTTTCTGCATCTACTGATGATAATATGATGTTTATTCTCTATTCTGTTGATGGGGTATATCACATTTATTGATTTCTGTATGTTGAACCATAGGCATAAATTTTGCTTGATCATGGTGTATAATCCCCCTCCTTTTTTTTTTTCTGAGATGGAGTCTTGCTCTGTTGCCCAGGCTGGAGTGCAATGGCACGATCTTGGTTCACTGCAACTTCTGCCTCCTGAGTTCAAACGATTCTTCTGCCTCAGCCTCCCGAGTAGCTGGGATTACAGGCATGCACCACCATGCCCGGCTAATTTTTGTATTTTTAGTAGAAATGAGGTTTCACCATGTTGGCCAGGCTGGTCTTGAACTCCTGACCTCAGGTGATCCACCTGCCTTGACCTCCCAAAGTGCTGGGATTACAGGCATGAGCCACTGCGCCTGGCCGTGTATAATCCTTTTAATGTGCTGTTAAATTTAGTTTGCTAGTATTGTGTTGAGGATTTTTGCATCTATGTTCATCAGGGATATTGGCCTGTAATTTTTTTTTCTTCTACTGTCCTTTTCTGGCTTTGGTATCAGGGTAATGCTAGCTTTGTAAAGCTAGTTCAGAAGTGTTCTCTCCTCTTCAGTTTTTTGTAAGATTTTAGAAGGATTGGTATTAATTCTTATTTAAATTTTTGGTAAAGTTTGGCATGAGGATGCCAGGTCCTGGACTTTTCTTTGATTGGAGATTTTTGACTATGGAATCAGTCTTATTACCGATCTGTTCAAATTTATTATTTTTTCATTATTCAGTCTCGGTGGGTTGTATGTTTCTAGGAATTTATCCATTTCTTGTAGGTTATTCAAACTTTTGATGTATAATTATTCATATTAGTCTCTTATGACCCTTCATATTTCTGTGGTATCAGTTGTCATTTCTCCATTGCATTTCTGATTTTATTTGAGTTAGCTCTTTTTTCTTAGTCTAGCTAAGGTTTTGTCAATTTTTTTTTTTTTTTTGCCTTTTCAAAAAGCAACTCAGTTTTGTCGCTTTGCTATCACTCTTCTAGTCTCTATTTGATTATTTCTGCTCGGATCTTTGTTATTTCCTTACTTCTAACTTTGGGCTTCGTTTGTTTGTTTTTTTCTAGTCCCTTATGGTGTAAAGTTAGATTGTTTGTTTGTAATCTTTCTTTTTCTTCCATGTAGGTATTTGTTGTTATAATCTTTTCTCTTAGAATATCTTTTTTGCTGTATCCCATAAGTTTTTGTATGTTGTGTTTTCATTTTCATTTGTTTCA